TAAGAGATAGAGATAGATAGTTTAATGGCCATATACATTGCAGCACGAAGGCTGAATTGCGTATATACAAATGATTAAACTGATATAATGGGTACATAACATTAAATACTTTAAATATAAAAGTATGTAAAAAAGGGATAAAATACAATAAAGGGACTTAGAAAAACCTACGTATTAATATTAACGTTACAGGATCTTACAATAAAACTGTTTCCAAAACGATCTCTCTCGCATTTGGGTACGATGAAGCGCCTATTGCGCCTTAGGGCGTGACGGACCGCTAAGTTGAATTAACTTGTTCAGACGGTGTTCAGGGTCCTTTATAATGGTGTCGAAAGTATTATTACATAGCCCCATGATGAAATCTNAAGCGTAGGTTTTATCGAAGGATTTACTTTGAAATGTTGAGCGCCTCATAAATTTAGTTTTTGTCTAGCACACATTGCAGGTTGCATAGAAATCAAATCCTCGGAGAGGTGAGTATCTTACAATTCATGCACAACATTTGAACAATCAACTCAGAACTACAAGCTCGCGGCATTTATTCTTATATTCATAGAGTAATTGTACTGCAAGGTAATGAAGTTTACCTCCAATAGCTTCACCGTTACAACCTAACAATGTCGATAATGTTGTAAAGCAAACAACTGAATGACTTTCACGCCCATTATGGGAATCACTTTCTCTTCAATATGATCAATGCAGTGTAAATATTATTGTAAGCATTAGCATGAATGTGAATTCATACACCTACATTCTTGAAGACATAACTGATGTTTTCCTGTTAAATTAAATGTTATTAAAAGTTCTGTCAATTTTTGATTTCTCTATTGTTTACATGGAAGTTTAAGGGTCGATACAAAGATATGTTCCTGATGTTATTTTGCGGTAAGGTAAGCATATATCTGCATGTAGTAATTTTAATAACTAGGCTGGTTATTACGTTTCATAGCTCATTTCCGTTAATCTAAGATATTACTTCCTTGCTACTTATCTGCAAAAGATGCTGTTGGGCAATGCAAACAACCAACATACCCAAACGCTGCCAAAAGATGCAGATTTCAGGAAGGAAAACAAAGAGAGACGTCAGAACAAATGGTGGCAGCCATTGCAGAAACGTTGACTTCGAATTCTCGCCTCAGAATACTAGGCTTCGTGGCTTCACCTGGGCAATAGTTAAATAAAAGCGAGTCGTCTAATTTAATTCGCTGCAAGCGGCGACCTAGCAATAAAATCAGTGTTTGTAAACATCGTTTACTCCGCCGTTTTGAATTCTTAGGTGGGTTACCGCTGTACACCCGTTCCCCGTTCGCCGTTCCTCGTTCCCTATTACTAGTTTTAGTAACATCCGTTCTGGTACGACAACACGTCATTCGAGTTTGCACTGGCGATTCAACATTTTTGCATTTAACATTCAATTTTTGTTTAAGCAACATTTAAGTTATCGCTTTCGACATTCAACTTTTTAGAGGCAACAGTGTAAGTTTCGAATTCGACCCTCAAGTTCAGTGGAATCCACATTCATGTTTTTGCATCCAACATTTAGCATTTGCCCTTTAAGTTTTGACTTCCGACCTCCGACTTTGGGCATTGTACTTGCAAGTTTTTGCGTTCGATATTCAACTTTTCGAATTGGACTTTTACCCGCTGGTCAGTGACTGAAGGAGATAGTGGGCGTAATCGTCCTGAGCCACCCCTGCTCAAAAGGTGGACGATAGGGACGAGAGAACTCCTAGTTGAGTGGACTCGGGAGACCTTTATCCACTCCCCACCAGACCAGACCTCGGCAACAGGTCGAAGATGGCCGAGTTCTTTAGTGGGGCGCTTGTGACTTGTTTGCATCTCTTCAGCTAATTTAGCTTACATTTTCCCGAAATTGTATTATCATTCACAAGTGCTGTTAAACTTTGAATCAATTTGTGTCATCTTAAAAAATTTGATCCAGCAAATTTCTGATGACAAGGCGTATTTGAATTCAGCTGTCTTGGATATAATCAGTGCTATAGACAGATTTAGGGGATCTGGAGATCCACGTTTAGTTTTCCAACCAATAGTTTTCAAGTTGAATTTTCTGCAAAGAATAGCTGTTAGTCTTGACGTGGAT